ACCTTAGAGGACTAGGAGAATTAACAAGACAAAATATAGGAACCACTAAATAAGTATACAGATATCAGACTGCATATTCCTGGTGAAATAGCAAACCAAATTATTATAATTAGGCTCAAAGTTTTAGAATTTCCTTAAATGCTCCTGTAATAACAAAGGAAAACCATACATTTTATTATTTTTTTAATGTTATTGATTTCAGAAAGGAAGTGGGGAGAGGGAGAGAGAGAGAGAGGAGAGAGAGAGAAACATCAATGATGAGAGAGAATCATTGATTGGCTGACTTCTGCACTTTCCCGACTGGGGATCCAGCCTGCAAGCTGGGCATGAGATCTGACCTAGAATGTAATTGTGACCTCCTGGTTCATAGGTCTACGCTTAACCACGGAGCCACGCCAGTCAGGCAAAAACCATACATTTTAATTCCTGTTTACCCAAAGGTTCAATTGTTTCCCCTAATGTATCTTTCGGTCCGCCTTGGTTAGCTGTAACAGTCAGTAGCCTGTCTGCTTTTAGAACAGGTTGTTGGAAAGGAGTGGCTATGATTAATTGGCATCACCTATGGAGTGGTGGATAAAGGCATCTATGAACAGAATTCCACTGTGACCTTTCCTGGCAGGTGTGAAGTTTCAGAGGGAGCTCACTGTGGTGAATTGGCCGGTTTTTATGATTCCTTTCAACCCTTGGGCTCCAATAGGAATAGTGTAACTTGGGCTTCCAATAAAAGGGGAGAAGTGCTGATGTTACAAACAAAACCAAGGCGGTTTGTACTGATCCTTAGTTACACGAAATCAGCAGCCCTTGAAAGAGACCAGCTTGATATGGGGACACTGTGGACTGCTTCTGTACCCCAAAGCAAGGGGACACAAAAAAATGCACGGTTCTCCTAAGGTTAGTAGACAAGTGGCAAGACAGATAGTCCTGACGGGAACCCAGAGAGTTCATTATAGGACGAGGCCACCATTGAAATATGGGATCTAATGCAGGGGTCTCTGGTAGGAAGCCGCTTGGTTTTTGGTCAGTGGAATCTTATAAGATTATCTTCTTTTCCTTTTTTATTTGCTCCTTTTTTATTTAAGTTTTCATATAAAGTTACTTCTATTGTTCTATTATCTTCACTTTACAAATGTTTGAATCTTAGAGGAATTTTCTACAGTGATCTTGAGTGCACACAGCCCTGGATGGATGTCTCACCTGTGAGCCTCCTCTCCCTCCTTTGGGACGGCTGTAATTCGGGTGTATACTCATTTCTCACCCATGCCATTGCCGCCTCTCCTCCCCTTGTTCTTCCCCTCCAGCATGGTTTTCCTCTTTCAAGGCTCGATGGAAGCCTTGCCGCTCTCTCTGCCGTTTCTTTGACTGCGCCATCCTCTTCAGGATCTTGGGGTAAGTGTTAGACTTCACCTGTTCTTTTCTTTTTCTTGAAAAGCCCTGTGGACTTATTTGCTCTTTTATTCTTGCTCCCATTCTGTACATGTGGCGGGATATAACCTCACTCCCCTCCCCCACCCCCTTAATGTAAGTTTCCTTCAGCCCATTTAATCACCAATCACCAATTGTGTTCATTCAGCAATATTAATTAGGCACCTATCATATGATGAAGTGTAAGCTTGAGTAGGAACAAGCCATCAATAGGTTGTGAAGTGGGATATAAGATGGGTATATAGGTGTGTTAACATTGTTCAGTGTTAAGCTACTTTATATGATTCATTTGTTTTCTATTACAAAAAGAAAAAGCCATGCTTACAATTGGTTAGGGAATTCCAAC